AGATGAATGGGCAATGGGGGTATTTCTATTAGTTGCTGTAACTTTTTTTGCGGGGGGGGGGGCATCAAGCTTCTTTTCTTCAAAGTAAATGAATACTATAGCTTCCCCCACTCCAAACTAAAAATGGCAGCGGTGAAACCCATTTGCTATTTTAGAAAATGACTAATAAAACATATATTTCATAATATCATGTGATTCAAATAACTTAATAGAAGTGATTAAAACCACTTCTGCAGTTATTCTAAAATGGCAGTCAGAGTTGCTTTTAAAAATCTTTCATTTCCAGGCCACATTTACATGAAAAAGATAACATCTTTCCATGCTCCATAAGGAGGGAAGGAAGTAGCATTGAATCTGACACAGTGCAAGAAGGTGAAAGGGAAATCTTCAGTGAGAACAATTGCATTAGGAATTTAGACTCTGTCTTTCTAAGGGGAACTCTCTAGTCGTGTTATCCGGAAACACATGTAGATGCTAGAATATGAAAACAGCCATAACATGAATTAAAATGTTCTTTAAAACATTGTTTCAAAATTGCAGCGCACGATAGGAAACTTCCTAATTACCCATATTCTGAATTGTTTCAGGTAAATAGGTAATGAAATGTATTAGGTGAGTAGAGTTATTTTGCTCATTTTAATAAGGGTTTGCCTTCTTGTAAGATAAGTTGGCCAATTCGAATATATATATGGAACTCCTTGAACAGACTATAAATTATATGTATCCACTGGCCTGGAAATTTCCACCCTTGACATTTCTGGTTTTGTTGCCCATTTGGGGGCCCGAAGATAGGATGCAGGCAGAGCCAGCGGCGCAGTGTCCTCTCAACCCTACAATCAGAAACGGGCTGGCACAAGGGGGACCGCAACCACTGGGCAGGGATCAGGGTGAGGCGAGGAGACGAAGTTGGCAACTGCGGGGTATGAGCCAGTCTTTATTTAAAATTCTGCTATTGTGTTCACCGTGGATTTCTAACTTTGCATTCATGTTGGTTTTTAAGGTATTGCATTACTGAGTTTTTTGGCCCCCACTTAAATTTGGCTCCCAAAATGTATCTCCCTCACTCCCTCACCCTAGTCCCAGCTCTCTCCGGCACTGGGGCTCTGGGTCCCAGCGGAGCCTGGAGCCCCACTGGAGCACAGCCTTCACTCCCACCGTCTCAGCTCTGACGGGACAGGGAAGGCTCCCACAGGAACCACGGCTCCTGCTTGCACACATGGAGGGCAGGGTGCAGACAAGCATCCTCTTGGTCTCCCGGGGGACCACTGGGAATGTCAGGGACCGGCTCTCATAGCTGTTGACACTGGCCGTGGCTTCTGTGTGTGGACAGGAACCATAGTGACACAGGCATTCATGCCCTCAGCGTGGATTTAGCAGGAGAAACGAGGAGAGTTACACACTCACCCCAAAAGCATGAAGAACCCCTGCAGAGCATGCTAAGTTATATAAAAATGAGAGGCTTGGTGTACAGATACCGGAAATCTGACACACAGCTCTTTAAATCACGGAATGGGCAGGGTCACGCGTGGTAGAGCTCAACTAACGCCGAGGGCACCTTTCTGTTCTTGAAGAGAACAAAATGGCACTTTCCATCTTATTGCTGAACTTCTCCTCAGACTTGCAGGTCTCTGTCTCCTGTCTCGTCCCAAAAGACACGCTGACAGTCCTTAGGCAGGGCCAGTGGCTGCCCCTCCATAAAGAACGTGGAGGCCTGCTTTCTCTCCATTTGTGTTTGATGGGAGTAGAGTGGAGAAAGGGACTGAGGTTGACTAACTCCCGGGTGTTCGCGCTTACTCATGCCCGGGAGCCCTGGAGGGAGAGAGACTCACAGGATTAGGAGAAGTGGGGAGAAGCCTGACTTCCAGTATTCGCTACAGCCAGAACCACGAGGCCCTAGTGGTCACACTTTCCTCTGGGGGGATACGCGAAGACCAAATAGAATGGGACTGCTCTGTCTTTCATCTTAGCAAGTAGTCTCATCATAGGATTGTCCGCAAACACGAAGTACACAGGCTGCCGTTCCGTCGTCCTTCATGGAACTCAACTTTGGACACTTTTTGGAAATTGGAAGCGAAAGCTCTAGGTAATAAAAGCTCTGAAAAGGAAAGAAGAGAAAGTTTGGGACATGGATCTGATTAAAAAGCTCTCAAAATTATCTGCTGACATTAGATGGGTATTGGGTTTTAGGTATTAACACGACTATCTGTCTATTTAATACATTTCTATGCAGATTCAGTAGGGAAAATGCTTAAATATATACTTAATTCCATAGGATCCCAAAGCACTTGAGGATTTAAACTGATAAGCCAACCTCAAAGGGACTGATTCTTGCTACTAAAACACAGACACCTCTGGGGTGAAATGTGGCAACAGTTTGACAGGCATAGCAGTAGCTTAGGCCAGAAAGGATTTATCCAATTAAAATTATGGGATGAATTTTGGCTGGCAGAATGTAATTACCAGCCTTGGAATGGATCCAGGATCCTGAGGTTAACACCCCGCCTCTTGCCAACAACCCTCCTACCTGCCAACACTCCGAGATGGGGAAGGCAGGATCTGACACAATCGCACATAATACTGTTGTGACATCTGAGTACAATGATGATGATGTGAGAAGCATCGTGAACCTGATTTTTTTAGCACTCATTATGTTACTTATTTTTATGCCACATTAGGCTAGAAACCAAATGTCCACATAAATGTTAATTTCCTCAAATCTGTATTTAAAAAGTATAATTAGAAAATAAAAAATAGATTTAAAAATTAATTTATTCTGTCAAAGTAGTTATTTAGTGATTATTGCAGTTTAGAAACGAAATTGGATCAAAATGGTGACATTTAATGGTTGCTGCATTAAAAAAAAAACCACAGGTCCTGAATTTTTAGAAGAGAAATGTGTTCTCCCAAGTTCACTGGCCTAGAAAAAGGGGAATGCCTAGTGCTTGGTTCACAGTGGTTGAAACTTGGGCTAACCGGTCAGGTGCAAGCACTGCTTGGTCCCAGGGCGGGTCCGTTCCCTCTCACGGGTGCACGCGGCAGGGGAACTGGGCCGGGGTTGCTGGTGCGCCCGTGCCCGGGGAAGAGCCCCCGCAGGTGCCTGGTCCAGGGGAATGGCCTCGCCTTTGGATCCCGATGCCCTCTGAGCGAGGCAGTCATTTCCCGGAGGGAACTGTGCAGACTCCCCACGGAGCGGGAGCGGCCGGCGGGCAGTGCCAACAAGGACGTTCAGCTCTCCCGGCCGCGGGCGCGCGGGGGGAG